CATAATTTCAATACCAAACAACCCATAATCACCCCAAAATCCGGTGTCACAAGTGTATGAGCATCAACTAGGAAGTAAAATAAAATACAGCATCTGCCCGAAATACAAATTATACAGAAATAATATAGATACTCTGAAGGAGACTCTACTAGATGCGGATCGTAGTATAGAATGCAGCTCATCTAAGTCCCCACAATAACCGCTCCTCTGCGCCCATAAGGCCACTAGACATATGTGTACCTACACAAAAATGTGCAGCAAGTGTAGTATGAGTACGTAAATCAACGCGTACCCAGTAAGTATCCCGTCTAACCTCGAAGAAGTAGTAACGAGGGGTCAACTCCGATACTTACTATGGGCTAACAATAAATACCGATATTATACTTAAGCATGGATTGTACGAAATAGCTGTAAACTCAATAACAAGAAGTGAGTGGATAATTCTTTTATTAATAGAAAATTTTTTCAAAACTTATTCTAGTTATTTAACAATTTATATCTCAAGCCAAAAAGTAATATCAATTATAGTTGGTTCCAAAGATTTATCATGCGCAAATTATGCCGAGGTCGTACGGCCGGATCCAACATAATATTTAAACTGTGAACTGCCGAGGGTCGAACGGCACAAACCATAGATACATCTATCTGCTACCGAGGCAATCGGCCCGCTCCACAAAAGAGAAAAAAATACATTAAACAACCAATTCAAGATTTATTAAGGGGCAAATATTCCAATAATTAAAAATTCTCATTTAACGATCAAGTAAATGAAGTTTAACCTTTTCACAATTTCTTTATCGAGTTTCTAAATATTTTAAACAATTGAATTAACAAATAGGGCGCAAACATCGCAAGTACAACATGATATGGGTCCTAGACTACCCGGACATAAGCATAATAGTAGCTGCGCATGGACTCTCGTCACCTCGTACATACGTAGCCCCCACAAATAGAAACACACAATAATTTGATTCACCTATGGGGTTAATTCCCTCTTACAAGGTTAGAAATGAGACTTACCTCTCTCCGAAATTCCATAACCGGCTCCAAAGCCCTTCCAACAACTCAAACTAATGTTCATTGCTCCAAAACTAGTCAATAAAGGTGCAATCCATAAATATATACTTTAATACTCATTATAATTCAATTTACAGTAATTTCCAACTCTGCTCGAAAAGCCGATAAAACTCACCCTCGTACCCACGTGCCCGGATTCGAAATTATTTTTGAAGATAAACATTACCCATAACCCCACGAACTCAAATATATAATTCATTCCAAATCACACGTCCAATTTCGTGGTCAAAATCCAAAAATACCAATTTCTAGATTTTTCTTCAAAATCCCAAAATTTATAATTTTCCATGTTTAAACCCATATATAAACCAAGTATTCAACTTGCAATAGGTGGGAATCACTTACCTTTCCATAGATGATGAAAATCTCCCATTGAACCTCTCCAAAAATCGCCCAACAAAGTGAAAAATGGGAGAAAAATGAGCCAAGTCTCGTTCTTAAATCAATATGCCCAGCCGACCTCCCGCACGTGCGGTACATCGGCCGCACCTGCGGCTCCGCATCTCCGGAAGACCCATCGCAAATGCGGCTCCAACTCACACCAACAGCCCTCGCTTCTGCGCGCAAGGTAGCGCTCTTGCGCTCTTGCTTCTGCGCCCAACCTAGCGCACATGCGCCTGCGCTTCTGCACATAGACGTTCCGCTTCTGCGGCCTCAGCAGCCTTGGCCCTACTTCTTCTGCACTTGGCATACCGCTTTGGCAGCATCGCACTTGTGGCCCTTTTTCCGCAGGTGCGATTACACCAGAACTCAGGCCCTTCAGCAGCACAACAAACCTCCAAGTTGATCTATTGATCATCCAAAACCACCCCGAGGCCCTTGGGACCTCAACCAAATATACCAACACGTCCCAAAACACATTACGAACTTAGTCGAGACCTCAAATCACACAAAAAATATCAAAACTATGAATTCCCCTCCAATTCAAACTTAATGAACTTTAAAATTTCAAACTTCTACAATCGATGTCGAAACCTATCAAATCACATCCGATTGACCTCAAATTGTGCATACAAGTCATAATTGATATTATGGACATACTCCAACTTCCGGAATTGAAATCCGACCCTGATATCAAAAAGTTCACTCCCGGTCAAACTTTTCAAAAACCTTCAAATTTCTAACTTTCGCCAAATGACCCCGAAATGACCTACTGACCTCCAAATCCACATCCGGACGCGCTCCCAATACCATAATCACCAAATGGAGCTATTTCCAGACTCGGAATCCCAAACGGATATCGATAATATTAAAATACACTTCATTCCAAATTTATGAAATTCTTCCAAAATACCAACTTTCCACAACAGGTGCCGAAACGCTCCCGGATCATCCAAAATCCGATCCGGATATACGCCTAAGTCCAAAAGTATCATATGAACCTGTTGGAACCTTCAAATCCCGATTCCGAGGCCTTTTACTCAAAATCAACCCTTAGTCAATTCTTCCAACTTAAAGCTTCCGAAATAAGAGTTATATTTCCAAATCAACTCCGAACTTCCCGAAATTCAATTCCGACCACGCGCGCAAGTCGTAATACCTGAAGTAAAGCTGCTCAGGGCCTCAAACTGCTGAACGACGTACTAGAGCTCAAAACGACCGATCAGGTCGTTACAATACTTTTGACTAGAACTTGTTCCAATTGTCTTTTAAAGAACACTGAGTCGCAAAAAACAAAACAAAACAAAAAAATATATACAGAAAAAAAGGGCATCTCTTGAAGATAGGTTTTCCTTCGCCTATCATGTATATAGCCTTTCAGAAAACCAATCTTGATATACTGATTATTCTGGAAACACTGTGATATGAGAAGAAAAGAAAAAAGAAAAAGAAAGAAAGAAGGCGAAACGGCAAAGTTTCAAACCTTTGCAAGAAAAGAAGAAAAAAATACAAAATACGGCAAAGGCCTATAAATTCCAAAAAGTCACCACATAATATTGGTTATACCTCTTGTAAATCTTCATAGCCATATTACACCCAAATAAAAGTGCAATACATATTCCAAAATTCAGTATTGAGAAATAAAGAATGACATGGAGCAAGTCTATGGACAAAGTAAAGTAACACTCAGTTTGTATGATCATAAAATTATCATTTTTTTATGAAGATATGAAGCTAGAGATATTGATTTTTGTCAAGCAAAGGTAAAGTCAGAAGCAAGGTAAAGATTTGATAAGCTTGAAAAGGTAAATTGTTTGATTAAATGAGATATTTTATTTGCTTAGATTTTCTTTATTTACAGAGAGTATCAATAAAAGAGAGAAGTAATTATTATTCTCTTTCACTCGGGGACGAGCAAAAATTCAAGTATGGGAGAATTTAATAAATATAAATTATATATATATTTTTTGGTATATATAGTATTAAACAAATAAATATTTTACTTTTATTTGTATAATTTTCTTTCAATATTGGTACAAATATATATTAAGGATTGCAGGTAAAGAAAAAAAAAACAAAAATAGAAAGAAGAGCAAAGAAAGCAGAGGCAATGACATCCTCCATCCAAGATTGTCATCCATGGGAAGGGAAAGCTGGAGGAAATTTAGTTTAAGAATAGAGGATGGTATCCCAGACCAAGAATCGCATCCCCAATCCGAGGATGGCATCCTTGAAGTTTATGGTTTTCTTTTCCTATAAAAGGAGGCATGACTTTCAGTAGGAAGGGGTATCGAGAGAGAAAGAAGCTATTTTAGTCTACAACTTTGGCATATCTTTAAGTTTTAAAAGTATATTTTCTTTTCAGAAATAGTAAGAATTTTAACCTTTAAATTTACCTATTTTTCTCCATAGAGTAATTTTCTTTGAGTTGGGATAAGTGGAGAAGCTTGATATATTATTATAATGAAAACTTCGATCTTTTTATTATTCTTGAGTGAGAGTACTTATTTGTTAATTTTTACATCAAGAGTAATGAATATATATTAGTCAACTTTATCATATCTACATATTAAATGTTGTAATATTCCTTGTATTAATCTTTGTTATCGAAAAAAGCAAGTTAAACAGGGATAGTTATAGCTAGATATGTTCACGTGATAATTTTAAGTAATTATATTTAATTACTTAAAATTCTTTATATTGATTTCTTGAGTTTTCATTCGAAAGAAGAAAATCAGTTAGCCAAGTTAGAGAATTTAACTAAAGCTAATCAAAAGAGGCTTTATGTTTATATGATGTAATCATTTAAGATAAGCTATTTTCTATGTCAATACTATGAGTCTTTTGTTTTATTATGCTAATCGAAAGAGGCAAAAATAAATGAAAGACGTGTGGTGGAAATATTATTTGTTAATCGAAAGAGGCAATTAATGTGTGGCATAGAAATAAAACTTTCTAAAACTCCATTATAATCTTATATCAAATGGATGCTCAAAATCTCAACTCCTTTAACTTACAAAATCAAAAACAATTGTTCTTATTTTCAAGTAGATTATAAATTCAACTCTTTTCATTGAATAGACTATATTAAATAGTAGGATGGATAATATGAATTTGTACCATAGATTCTCCAATCTCTGTGGACGATATCATAAACAATACTATAATTTGACAAGTACGAGCGATAAAATCATATACATATTGTGCTCGTCTGCAGTAATGGAGAAAATCTGCTCATCGGAAAACTCTTTCCTTATTTCAACTGTTTCAATCGGAGGTATCTCAAGTCGAGATAGATGATCTGTGACTTGATTTTTTGTGCCCTTCCTATCTTTGATCTCCAAGTCAAACTCTTGGAGCAACAACACCCACCGCATCAGACACAGCTTGGACTCCTTCTTACTCAATAGGTATTTCAAGGCTGAGTGATTAGTGTGTACAATCACTTTACTTCCCCGCCAGATATGATCTAAATTTGTCAAAAGCAAAGACCACAACAAAGAAATCTTTCTCAGTAGTGGCATAGTTGACTTGAGCATCATTCACGTCCTGCTTGCACAGTAGATGGGCCTAAACATCTTATTTTTTCTTTGCCCCAGAACTTGCCCAACAACTACATCACTGGAATCACACACTATCCTAAATGGCTGGCTCCAATCAGGTGTCACCATAATAGGAGCACTCACAAGCTTTTTCTTTATCAATTCGAATGCTCTTAAGGACTCCACAGTGAAAACAACCTTGACATTCTTCACTAGCAATGCAGTCAACAGCTTGGTAATGCTGGAAAAGTTTTTGATGAACCTCCTATAGAACCCAGCATGTCCCAAGAAATTCCTTATGCTTTTCACAGAAGTCGGTGGAGGGAGCCTAGCAATTCTATCAACCTTAGCTTTATCAACTTCAATGCCATGTGCAGTCACTTTGTGGCCCAGGACAATTTTCTCTTTCACCATGAAGTTACATTTCTCCCAGTTAAGAACCAAGTGGGTGGCTTCATAACATTAAAGAACAAGCTCCAAATTCTTCAAGCAATAGTCAAAGTCATCATCAAATAGGGTGAAATAATCCAGGAATACCTCTAGACACTTCCCGTTTAAATCGGGGAATATAGACATCATGCACCTCTAAAAAGTGGCAGGTACATTACACAACCCAAATGGCATCCTCCTGTAAGAAAAAATACCTGACGGTCAAGTGAATGTGGTATTCTCAACATCCTCTGGGGCAATAGGTATCTAATTGTAGCCTGAGTACCCATCCAAGAAGCAGTAACATCCATGTCCAGCCACTTTCTCGAGCATTTGATCAATAAAGGAAAGTGGAAAGGGGTCCTTCCTTGTTGCATCATTCAGCCTTTTATACTCAATGCACATTCTCCACCCAGTGACTGTTCTTGTGGGGATTAATTTATTATATTCATTCTTCACCACTGTCATACCCCCCTTTTTAGGTACAACTTGCACTAGACTAATTCACTGGCTATCAAAGATGGGAAAAATCACTCCCGTATCTAGTAATTTGATGATCTCCTTGTGCACTACCTCCTCCAAATTTTTGTTCAACTTGCGTTGGGGCTGTACCATTGCTTGTTATTTTCTTCTAACAGAATTTTATGCATGCAAATGGTTGGACTGATTCCTTGAATATTAGCTATACTCCAGCCAATAGTCTTCTTGTGCTTTTTCAGCAGCTCCACCAGCTTTTTCTCATATGTACCTATCAAGTTAATTTCAAAAAAAAGCATATTTCAAGTGAGTGGGGAGGACTTTTAATTCCACATTAGGCTTAGAAGCCTCCTCTTTTAGTTCCTCCTCATCATCCACTCGATCATCAGTTTCAAGAGCTTCAGCCTCTTTCTTTATTTCAGGATCTTCATCCTCCACTGTGCTAGACTGAGTAATACAATCCCCCATAAGCTTGTCAAACTTGTATTTTTCAGCCAATTCCCCAACCACATCTAGCTTGAAGCACGAGTAGATAGATACCTCATCACTGGGGTATTTCATCATCCTCTGTATCTGGAACACCATTTTCTCATTACCCACTCCGAGCATAAGCTTCCCCTCGTAGATATCAAGTATAGCTCTGTCTGTACATAAAAATGTCCTTCCTAGAATTAGAGGCACATCCTTGTTCACCTCCATATCCACCACAATAAAGTCTACGGGGAACACAAACTTGTCTACCCAAACTAGAATATCCTCAATGATTCCCTCAGGTAAAATGGTGGTTTGGTCAGCCAGTTGTAGGGAAACTGGTATTGATTTGATCCAAGCTCACTTTTCAGTTTCCTGAATATAGAGAGATAGAGGCATTAGATTTATAGACGCACAAGAATCACAGAGAGCCTTGTCGAATCTCTCACTCCCAAAAGAGCATTGTATGGTGAAGCTTCCCGAGTCCTCACACTTTTGGGAAATTTTATTTTGCAAAATGGAACTGCAGTGGGAATTCAGCTTGTCCATTATTGTCTCCTCCAATTTTCTTTTGCTAGACATGATTTTCTTCAAGAACTTTGCATAAGAAGACATCTGAGTGAGTAACTCTGTAAAGGGAATGTTTATATAAAGTTTCTTGAGCATCTCCAAGAATCGCCCAAAATATTTGTCAAGTTTTTCCCGCTTCATCTTTTGAGGGAATGGTAGAGCTGGCATATGTCTACTTTCATCAATCTCTTTTTGTACCCCACTACTCTAGTCTTTCTGCTCTTCACTCTTTTCTCTTCCGGTGTCTCAGTCTACTTGTTCACCACCTCAGGTCTAGCTTTCACCACTGGGTCAGCCAATATTTTGCCACTTCTCCGAGATACAGCTTTGATTATTTCCTTTGCGTTCTTTTCAGTGTCAGAGGGTATAGTCCCAGGACCCCTCTCAGATAACAAATTTATAATTTTTCCCATTTGCCTTTCTAAATTCCGGATAGTTGTGCCCTGAGTCTCAAATTTTTCATTTGTTTTGTTGATGAATGCCTTCATGAGATCTTTCATACTAGACTGATTTGACTGTTGTGTCTTGTGTTGTTGCCTCTACTAGTTCTGAAAACCTGGTGGTCCTTAACCCTAGGGTCTAGTATTATTTTGTTTCCATGAGTTCAAACTTCCACTAGGTGAACTCCACGAAAAACTTGGATGTCTTTGACCCATAGCATTATAGTTGTTCTCACCTTAGTAGTTTCCTCTATTATAGTTACCCACAACGTTGACTTCCTCAGCTGAAGCTTGATATTCATGTGTAGGGTGTCCCATTCTACAAAAGTCACATGCTGCTTGTGGCTCACTCTGTACCTCGGCTAATGTCAACTTTCTTATCTCCTTGGACATAGTGTCTAGTTGGGATTGCATGGATGTGTTAGAGTCTACCCGATGAACCCCAACTGATTTTCTTCTGTCATTACTCTCAGTAGGCCACCGGTTAGCATCTTCAGATAATTCATCAAGTATTAAGACAACCTCTTCTGGAGTTTTCTTCATTAGTGGACCTCCACATGCAGTATTCAGAGTTCGTCGCGAGGAAGGTGTCGGTCCATCCCAAAAATCCTAGAGTTGCATCCATAAATCAATTTCACTGTGCTGACACTTTCTGACTATCTTCTTGAATCTTTCCCAAGCTTTGAAAATCATTTATGTCTCATTCTGGTAGAAATTGTGGATTTTCCTTCTGAATTTTCCTGTTTTTGCAGCTGAGAAGTACTTGTCAAGAAACGTTTTGGTCATCTCTTCCCATGTCCTGATCGACCATGTGGGTAAGCTACAAAGCCAGTGCTTCGCATCATATTTCAATGAAAAGGGGAATGCCCTCAAGTATACCATATTTTTTGATACTCCATTGTACTGGAAGGTGTTCATGATTTCTTCAAAGTCCATCAAATGAATGTTTGGATCTTCATTCGCCTTCTTTCTGAAGATGTTGTTTTGGATGGTTTGAAGCAAGCCTTACTTCAACTCGAAGTTGTTTGCTTCTATGGGTGGAGGTATGACACTTGACAGTCCTTGATTGTAGATTGGTCTGGCATAGTCACCCAATGATCTTCCAGGACTGGGTGCTGCATTCTCGAACTGGTCTTCAACCAAAGGTCAGTTTAGATTGAATCTTTGACCCCCACCATCTTCGATAGTCTCCTCAGCAACTCTTCGGGCTGCTTCAGCTGCTATCCGTGCAGCTTCTAGTTGTGTTGCTTCTCTTGCAGCTAAGTTTACTCCATTAATCTCTTGATTTGCCATGTTATCTTGAGTAGAAATATGACACAAGAAATTTTCTGTTAATGCTCTTTCTTTTCTCAATTGTTGTAGATGTTTCTCTAACTCTGGTTCGTATGATATCACTTCCTTTGAAAAAGATCTAGTCATACACCAGAAACATCAACCCTGTATCCTGCACACAAGTGAGAAAACGTGAATACACTAAAGTAAAAATTGGTTCCTGAATTAGTACTAAAAACTATTTTAAACACTATTGATTGCAAATTCCCGGCAATGTCACCAAACTTTGATGAGCGCAAAACACAACACAAAATTATTGCTCGCTAGTCAAAGATAGTATAGTTTAATTATCGTCTCCACGGGAATTTAATTTAAATTGTGTTCGAATAATCTTCAGTTGATTACTATCCAGGGAAATTAACGCTTGACTTGGTGACTATTACTATGATTAACTACTATAAATTAAGCAATTAACAATTGATCACAAAAGACAGCAGATGAGCAACAAAGAAATATCAATGAGAGAAAGAAGGGTATTTGACCTAGGTGCAAGATAATTGACTCGGGATCCAATTCTTAAGTTAATTTACTCTATAGTACTATTGATTATCACGAATTCAACAGATAATAATATACACTTGAAGTTAAGGTTCCTATTTTGATTAAATGTTAATTTTAATAATTAATCCAATTGAAGCACGGTAAACAATTGCAACAATAAAATTTTGATTATGATCTAAAGGGTAACTTCTCACGAATATTTTTCTATTTTCTAGTTCGATTAACAATTAAAGAGGCTCTTTTGATTACCTATTTGAATCACGAATTTAAACTAGAGCATAAGATGTAAAGAAATTCAATATCAAGCTCCTCTTTCGATTAAGCAAAATAAGAAATAACTCCACAATACGAATTAAAACTCCATCAATTAATTCTAACAATTATCAAGAATCGAATCCCTAATAAAGTTATCAAAACACTGTATCTGTCAACACCCTAATGGAAATTACTCCATAGCAATGGAGTAAGACATCTCAATAAGGTTCAAAAATAAAGAAAACATCAATACTAATGATTTGATACAAACTCCCGTGTTGCACCGATTGTTTGTTGAAATCTTGATGAATTCTTGAGTCTTCTTGCCTTGGTTGGTTCTCCAATCTTTCATAGGTCAAAAGTCCTCTAAAAATTGTATTTTTGGTGTATTTATACAATGTAGAAAAAAGCCCGAACAAAACTATCCTTTCTTAGTCGAAACAAGAGACTACTCTGACAAACTTGTACATGCGCGTCGCGCCCCGCACCGCGCCATGCAGCGCGCTTGTGAGGAAGTTCATAGAGGTGAGATTTTGTCAGGCAGCAGCAATTACACAGCCGCATTGCGCCTCGCGGCGCCCAATGCAACGCAGCTGTGAGGTTTTCTCGGAGTAAATAGTTTTGTCCACTTTTTGACATCCGGACTTGGTCCTCGACCCCAAACGTGATCCCCGCTAAACTTTTTGGGCTTCTACTCAGATTTCAAAGCTCCAACTTATTCGATTTAGCTCCAAATTACCTTAATAGCTTAGAATCGTTTCCTGCAAGGCATAAACATGTAATAAGTGTAATTCACTATCATTTAAGCTCAAACACACGTAAAATACAGTAATTTGAGTACAATACTACGGCTAAAATACGAGTTTATAGCGTACCATCATAGGGCGCCACCCTCTGTTTATATTCCCTCCTTATGATACAGGGCGCCAACCCCTGGTTACGTTTTCCTTCAGTAATACAAGGTACCATCCCCTAGTCACGTTTCTTTCAGTAATATAGGGTACCATCCTTTAATTCCATTTCCTTTTGGTAACATAAGGTACTACCCCCTCGTTGCATATCCTCCCGTAGCTGGTTTATACTAGTGTCTTTGTCTTCCTTTCAATAAATTAGATGCTTTATGGCTTTGTCCAATAAACTCGCAAACGTTTTCTAGTGCCAAACTGGGGCAAAAAGATTTTGTTTATTTTGTTCGTCTTTGATGGCTTTGCAGGACCCTACCTTAAAGAACATATTGTGACGATTAAGCTTGCAGTTTCAGTTCTCATCAGAAGAAAAAAGTCTTTCGATCACAAGATAGGTGGAGTTAACTTTTATAACATGTCGGTAACTCGGCGTCTCAAGATTCATCTTCTCAATTTCGGATCAGGAAAGCAAGCAACTGAGGTTGAGTCATAATCTTTTCTTCAAAGAGCATCACGATCCAATCTAAGGCCAACACAAGCGAGCAAGTCAAGAATCAAGATTTGACTCCAGAAGACATATAGATAGGAATTTTGTAACTCTTAGCGTGCAGGAATTTGTAGTTCTTTTCTTTTTTTTCTTTTGATGTAAGCAGCAAGTGACAACAACAACAACAACAACAACAACAACAACAACAACAACAACAACAACAACAACAACAATAACAACAACAACAACAACAGTAGTCTTAACTCTAGTGTCCGGTAATCCCAGCTACCAAAATTTTCTCAGAACTATACTGACCTGATTCCTTTATAGCTAAAGATTTGTATGCAACCTCGGAAGCAAGGTTCGGTCACGTTTTTCAAAAATACTTTCATTAGAGTCATAGGTGAGCAAAAATTAGCCATGGCATTCACTTTTCTTAGTACGAAAAATCGCCATGTCCTCGAGCAAAGAGGGACATCTGTAATGCCTAATTTTTGTATTATTTTAACATCTCTCAAAGTACTAGTTTCTTGTTGTTTTAATTATTTTTCTCTCAATTTTTGTGCACTTTAATTGCATTTTTATCTTAAAAAATATACAAAAAATATATATTTATTTCTTCCTTTTTGAAATTTAGGAATTAATTGATTATTTCATTGGTGAATTAAATTAGTTGATTTATCAATTGAATATTTTAGTTAAGTAAAGATATTGTTGTATAATTGTAGTTTAATAAGAAGGGAATAGGAGAAAGGGGGTTGACATTTGTGTTTCATAGAACTGGGCCACAAAAATTCGAAATTAGTGGCCCAAGTCTCACTGACCCAATCCGGATCCAGGCCTGCCAGGGAAGGGGGACTAAAACGACATAGTTTTTGCTTAAACTATGACGTTTCACTTGATGAAATCAGACATCCAATCTCAACCATTGATCACCCTTCAATCCAACGGACCTCCTTTTATCTCCCTCACTGAGTGAGTGTTTTTAATTAATAAAAATAGTCATGTTTGTATTCCCGCTCATCGACTATCTAACTAACAAATCGTGTGTGACAATAAGCATTGGTTACCGGTTGGATGAAGTGAAGGGAAAGAAGAGAAGAGTGGAGAAAGAAAAGTAAAGTTACCACTTTTGCATCATTTAAGGTGGGATATAAAGCTATCAACAACTATTCTGCCATCCAAACACCACTTACAATTGCATGGGTACTTCCTTTTAGCAAGTTGCTTTTCATGATTTCGCACTTT